CTGCAGAATAAGACAAGACACCAACATCAAAGGTTTTCAAATTAAGCTAGATACTAAAACACATAGTTTAAAGATCTCACAATTAGCTGACGACACAACACTTTTTCTAAAATCAAAAAATGAAGTACGTCACACTCTTAATATTATTGAAATCTTTGGAAAACTATCAGGTTTAAAACTAAACAGATCAAAAACAGAAGGCATTTGGTTAGAAAAATTAAAACATTGTAAAGATAAGTTTGAAAACATAAAATGGAATAAAGGACCAATAAAAATTCTAGGAGTTTATTTTATAACAAATCGAGCTGAATGTGATAAGCTTAATACTGAAAAAATAATACAAAAATGTGACAAATTAATAAGTAATTGGAAAAAAAGAAATCTTACAATGATAGGTAAAATAACAATTGTAAAATCTCTTCTTATACCAAACATTACATATTTAGCTTCAGTCACAAACCTACCACATGAATTTATTCAACAGTTTAAAACCCTTATTTATAATTTTATATGGGATGGTAAACAAGAAAAGTAAAACGAACCATATTAAGCAAAGATACTACTGATGGAGGTCTTAAGATGACAGATATAGACAATTATATAACTGCACTACAAATAGCATGAATTAAAAGACTAACTGCAGATAATTTTGCTAACTGGAAAGTGATTCCTACATTTTACTTTAATACATTTGGCGCTAATTTCGTGTTACTTTACATGAATCCAGATAACATTTACTCCATACAAAACCTACATAAAACTTTACCAAAATTCTACTTAGAAATTGTAAAATCCTGGTTCAAAGTACAAAATTTAAATAACACCAAACTCACGATGAATTTTAAAAACATTAGACAACAAATCTTATGGGGAAACAAAATGATAAAGTTTCAAGGAAAGTGTCTAGTTTTTATAAAATGGATAAAAGAAGTTATTATGTATGTTAATGATATTATTGACCAGAATGGTAACATCTCTCAAGATATAATATCTAATAAAATATCCTCAAAATCCAATTTAATGTTTGAAATTTCAAAAATTAAATATGCTATACCAAATGAATGGCTCAAGACACTTAAATCAGATCAACCAATAAAATCAAAAGTAAAAAATAAACTTAACCTTTGCATTTAGACAAAAGAAAAAATAAGATAACAAATTTACAAGCAATGGAAACAAAACAGATATACACACACATTAATAGTAGAAATAAAGACATACCTCCAGGGTTCTCAAAATGGAAACGTGTACTAAATTTAGATTCTTTAATCCCAATTAAATCAATGCTAAAATGTGTATTTACTTATTTAAAGATAACAGATTAAAAATATTTAAATGGAAATTGTTGCATCATATCCTTCCTTGTAAACAACTGCTCTTTCAATGGAAGATAAAAGAAGACAGTAAATGTGACTTATGTAATGAAACAGAAGATAATAAACATTTTTTTCTGGAATGTCAATACTTTAAAGCTTTTTGGGAAAAGATCAAAATATACTATTAAATAAAGTTAAAATTGGTCATCATATCCTAAACTACAGAAATCTCATAGTAGGATATAAAATCTGTGACATCAATTATTATGACATAAATCTTTTGGTAACACTCATTACATTTCCCATCCACAAGTGCACTCACATTTCAAATTATAAAACTACAAATCCTGATGTATATGCCCTGTTCAAAAAATATTTTTTGAACTATTTAAATATTTCGACACTAACAGGAGTTAAACATGGTAACATTTTGAAAGAAATAAGCTTGTACATATAATTATTATTTTATGCATATATGTTATATGCTATATTTATTCAGCAATACATGTGTCTCACCATTATTTAATCTTTAGACCACGTGTTGTGGACTTCGTCATGATCATGATCAGTGATAAAACATTAAACCCCAATTATCCAAAAAGCATCCTTCCTTATTTTAAATCACATATTCACAAATAACTAAACTGATATAAACACTTCAATTCGCAAATTAATTTCTGTAGTAATCTGTTGTATTGATACATAGAATGTAAATCTAACAATTTATTATTATTAATTTACTGAACAATCTCCCTGTTTGTTCAGTAAAACTAATCCTACAGGGGTGCCCTGTCAAATGCTGTAGACATGGTATTCATTATAACAGCAATAGTGCAATAAATTAGATTTAAAAAAAAAAAAAATAAAACATGACAAAAACGAGATTAATTAAATTAATATTTGAACAGTACGAAATATCCACAGAAAAAAATATCATTGCAACATTGTCTTCCGTCAGAGCTGACATACGACTGGTAACTAATAGCTATAGATTACACCAATGTCAATGTACCTGAGTGTCGGCAATACTAAACATGGAAAACCATTACGTCAATAAACCTTATTAAGTCGAAAAACAACCCCTCCCCAACAACGAGGACGAAATTGCCTCCCTCTACTCTTTGATAAAAAAAATAATCAATATTTTAGCATTTTATCAATCACAAAATCATAAACACATTTACACTAAGGATAACTCTGACTTAAATCTGAAGCTTTGTTAACTACGGCTTTTTCATACCACTCAATATCTTGTATCCTTTTTAGAAAATAAATAAATTGAAAGACCTATATCTTGAAATACAAATACAAGACTTTTAAAATATATACAGCTAATATCCAATGATCATGCTAATTTGCTTAGATTATGATAGCGACCCGAATGCAGCCGCATAAAAAAAAAGAGTTGAACATGGAAACGGGGAATGTGTTAAAAAGACAACAGCACGGCCAAACAGCAGAACACATCCCATGGCCACCAATGGGTCTTCAACACAGCAGGAAAATCCCGCACCCGAAGGCGTGCTACTGCTGACCCCTAAACAAAAATATATACTAGTTCAGCGAAAATGAACGCCACACTAAACTCCGAAACATATAAATGAACTAAAATTTAAAAAAGCACACAAGACAGACAAAGGCCAGAGGTTCCTAACTTGGGACAGGAGCAAAAATGCGGCGGGGTTAAACATGTTTTATGAGAACTCAACTCTCCCCGATACAACTTACCAATGTGATTGGTCACTTATAAGAAGTTTCAACAACGTTTGCTTCATACTAAGCAGAAATTTGATATTATAACATGATTTAAGTCGAGCCAATTAAGTCACCAATCATTAAACATGTATATTTGTAACATCGCTCAGGATTGAGTGTCGCAGCCAACGAGTACAAAAAAAAATTAAATTTGTTAACGTTTTCAATCGATCGAAAATTTGAAGATATTAACTTTGATCATACGTACTGTATAATATTTTATTTAGATCGCAGACAGAACGTGATACTCAGAAATATAAACCAATAACTTGAAGTAACGGTGCAGCAATGTCAGTGTCAATCCGCGTCAATTTATCAATGAAATGCACGCGACGTCATTCATACAACCGAACAACTACGAAAACGGTTTGTACGCATAAAAGGTTTTTTTTTTACTTCATCTCGGTTTATTTCCTATCTCCACGCAACATTTTGTTAAGACAAATTGTCGATAAAAGAATTATCTCTATTTTCTCTAATTTTGCTTTGATTTTTCAGAGTGAAAATTTCTAACCTTGAGCTTCTTAACTCAGCTTGATTTATCCCAGTCGGGTAAAGTGGGAAGACATGTACACTGACGTTGCTTAGGGAAAAAAGATGAAAAATTTATATATGATAATTCAACTCGAGGAAGTTTCTCGGATACGTCTCATCTTGGGACTATTGCTAAACAACAATGTCATTATTCTATATATAAACATAAGAAGATGTAGTATGATAATCAATGATATAACTCTCCACAAGAGACCAAATGACACAGAAATTGATAACTTTAGGTCATCGTACGGGTGTAAAACCCATACCGCATAGTCCAGCTATAAAAGGCCTCAAAATGACAAATGTAAAACAATTCAAACAAGAAAAACTAACGGCCTGATTTATGTACAAAATAATGAAAGAAAAACAAATATGATATACATCAACAAACGACAACCACTGATTGACAGTGTTCCTGACTTGTGACATACATAATGTGGCGTGGTTAATCTAGTTTGAAGGCATATATGTTTGATTTAAAGGTTTACATGAACACCTTTATACAGGCAATGCACCTCCTGACATCAGTATAATCAGTTGCTTTATCGCTTAAAAAATTAAATTCAGACGCGCATTTGTCTCCACATTAGTGGCGCTAAAACAGTTAAAAGTAAAATAAATACTTAGTTGAAGATCATTGAAACCAAAAATTCCGAAAAGTTGTATCAAATACTGCTAAGGCTTTCTTTGCCTAGGAGTAGAAAAACCTTAGTGTTTTGAATAAGTATAACTTTGAAAAATTTGATTTCTGACGTCCTCGATTATCCTATATCTAGCCCAGTAAAGTAAATGATGTATATAGTAATTTTAAATACACCTAATGTAGCCTCATGGATGTAAACCAGACACTGTTTTGTCTATGAACCATCCAGAAACAAAAGGGTGAATAAGCACCATTTTTTTTTCTTTACTTTTTTTTACGTTTCCCCTAGAAGATGCAATAAAGTTTGTTTTAATGTTACAGAAATCCGATCATGCATGTCGCAAAAGTTTTTATTCACCAATTTCTTCTACACGTAAAGGAGGATATTGGATGTATGTGTTTATGTGAGACAAATTTTTTTTAAATACTGGACCAAAACGATATACCGAAAAGTCAGCATTTCAGTTTCTGCGCTCTCTTTTGACAGTGGCTACAGACTACAACATAATTTTCTTCGCGTGATAAGGTAAATACATTTTGTAAGGCTCCTGGACTTAACTGGATATTCTCATAATGGCAAATATAATGATATACATGTATTATACGTATATTTATTTCTTAAGTCATTATCAACATTTTCTAAGCGACTTTGCATACATTACAGTCTAACTACATTAAAAAATATGCAAGATAATTGTATAAAAATGCTAACATATGCATTCATTTACACTTTTAATACACGAGTCTAATTGGAAGTATTGCATAATTACCTCCTTTAGATATAAAATGTGTTTTCTTATTATTGCCTTCTATTACCTCGGGAAATCAGCAATGGATGTGAAGGTAACAAATATGCTTTTCTGCTCTCTTTTTCCTTTTTTCTCTACAACATTTTGTTAAGGATTGATCGGGAATGTAATTTTGTTTGCCTTCGTAACAATGTTTCACATAATGATCACTTTTTCGCGTCGTCGGAGGGGTGGGTTTGTCTGCTGCATGAGCGGAAGTATGTTCAGCAATCAAACAGCGACCAAAACAAATGACGCAATTTTTTTAAGCAGCTACAATTCTAATCAAAACACAAACCCCGCAAGGGTTCAAAAGATTTGTTTCAAATTTTATTTATCCTCTCCAGTGCAGTAATCAATATGTCAAATTCTTCATGAGCTCATTCCATACAAGCTAGTTGTTGGCTCGAAAAATACAAGAAAAGTATGTGATCTTCTTAATTTCAACTGAAGTACCCAATTATCTTTTCTTTGATTAGTTAAGTAACTGTCTTTATTGTCATAAACGATGCTTTATAGTTACATGCACCAGTGAAATGGCGGGGACATCAGCCACTCTGTAGCACTTTTGTTTGTTTTTGTTTGTTTTCTGTCGTTTTTTGTGTGGTTGTTTAGTAGTGTAAGATGTCTTTATTTTGCACTTGCAAATGTCATGAAAAATATATCTTCACGTTTTCAAGTCTGATGTATCACATGTTAGGGGTTTTGAGTGTTCCTGATGAAGGTTAACCCAGAAAACTGCTCCGGACGCACGAAAGTATATAAGTGTTATTTTATCTACAGACAAGCACGTCGTTAAGTGCCAAATATTTCGAACAATAAAATTTTGTTTATAACGACTAATCCTTTGTTTACACATTGCATTGCTTATAAGTGACACAAGCTCAGCCAGTCCAAAAAAGACTTTAAGTTGACAGAGTAGTGTCGGATTTATATTTAAACAATTGTCCTTCGAAAGTAAAACAAATCATCTGAATCGTTCTTCTTAAATAATAATTTGTTTCAAAATATGATAATTTTATCTTCCATTTTGCGAGAGAAATACATCTATGTATTAAAATAAGTTTAAAATAAATTATACACATAACCATGGCGTGTTGATGAGAAATAGTAAGAAGATACTATGGGAAGTCCAAACCAATAAGTTGTAGAACAACGCCATGCCCAAAAGTCGAAAGAAAAGTAACCGTATGACAAACACTACACAGAAAACTAAACCCATTTGAAATATAGAGTTAACTTGGGTACCCAGGAAGGATAAACAGTTCAAGCTCCACTAGTGACACTAATAGCTTCAAAACTTATTTACGGTTTGTATTGTTTTCTTAATTATTTTAAGTCTTGTTTTTCTTTTATATATTATCAGACTTGTTTTATTCTGAGCTCATTATTGGCCTCTATAATTTGCGATGTTCAACGAGTACCAATTCCTAAAAGTCTGAGGCGATGTTTACGAACAAGTGATCAAAGCTTTCCTATGACGGACGAGCAAATTAGCACATCTTGCTTGCTACAATTTCTGTGGTCGAATAGACAACTATGTGACAAGGTGTCAAAACAAACATTTGATTGGCTTTCGTCACTTGTTGAAAAATCACAACAGCGACCAAGCTCTACACCATTACATGCAAGTGGTAATTCCATGACAAGATCTGAACCACAGACGACATTTATGTCACATCCTCCCGCTATACAACCACAATCGTCAGCGACCACCTCTCAAAAACAATTGTCAACAACAACGTCACAAGCACAAACGACAGGGTCGCAATTAAGACAGCGCAAAGAGTATAGAATGCTAACTGACCAAGAAAGAGATGATTATCATAAGGCTATAAACGACTTAAAAAAAGATACTGTGAGTATAAAATTCCAGGTCGTTAGTCTATGTATGCCGTGGAAAACTATTTGATGGTTGTGTTAACGTGAGCAAGGGCTGTCACATGTTACTTTTTTTCTCAATTGAAACAGAAAAAAAATATTTAAAAAATAAAGGTCAATTAAACGAATTAAAAAATATCAGCCTTCTAAATAGTCTTCAATGTTGGGTCGGAACACTTCCTTTCCTTCTATCAATTACATTGTCATAATATTGTTAAAAAATAACGTGAGTAAAACCTTAAAAAAATAAATGCAAGCTAAAATACTATACACTTTTCTTATGGGTCAAAAGTATACTTTACAAAAGAGTCTACAAACTAATTGTGAGCATTTTCATTGCCTCAGTTTTTCTTTTTTATTATATTTTCAAGAATAATTTTATCATCGGTGTCCATGTTGCTTGCTTGATAGGAACACGAGGAACAAATCTGAAACTAGACAATCTAAGGATGACCTTTGTTTTTAATTGGCCTTGCATATGAGGTGAAGATATTATTTTAATTACATACAACGGACGTCGTATTAACACGATTTGCATTCGGTATATCTAATAAATTATCGCGAAGAATAAGTAACGTTGGTCAAGTATTGCGATCTGTTATCAGATCGTGAATACAATTTAATCTACAATTTAACTTCAAAATCTATGAAAAAACTATGTACTGACCAAACGACAAAATAAATCAAAAACAAATGTGTCAGTCAAGCTGATTACTATTCAATAACACTGCACACGACGGAAACAAATTAATGCATCTATTAGTCATAAAGGGGTTAGGACTTGTTATATGGATAGAGTCCTTACCGTATTTTAAAAACATATGCAATTCTTTTTTACGTTAAATCATGTTAAATGGTACCTATCAAAGTAAAATGTATAGCGAATTAATTGTAAATATAGATAGCCACAATGATTCTATCAGGATTGTAATAAGTATAATGTGAGGGTACCCAAATTACACCTATTTTTGATAGTTTTGTGACCTACGTTTATTTATGATACAGACAAAAGTTTTCGTTTGTAGATGTATAATAGTAGATCCTTATAAACTTTATAGTTCCACCAATTCAATTTTGAATCCATATTAATCATAGAAAAATCGGTTTGAACCGACCTCCAAATGATCCATGATTATGTATTCTGGAGTTCCCAAAAGTTCCCAAATTGCATTCATGCTTAAATTCACATCCGTTAAAATCGAATTAATGATGTTTTGTTTTACTTCTAATATTTAGAACAATTTGACAATAGTCCATGCTGACTATTCATTTCTTTAATAAAAATAAATGGATGCCTGTAAATTATTTTAATTGCTCATTTTTAAACGTTGACTTTTTGTGGATGTCGCATGATGACTTTTCCTTACATTTTACTTTTTCAAATGAATACTTCATCTGTTGATATATACTGTGAACGTTTTGTGTATATCTAAGTATATTTAGCTACTCGGTGCGAAAAAAAAAACAAATAAACGTTTAATTACCAAAATGATTGGAATGCTTTACAGGATGTTTGCAAACACAAATCAGTCATTTCCAAGAGCATCTTGAAAAGCTGTTCCCGATCTTTCACAATCATAAATTTAAAGTATTTATAACTATTTTCCATTTCGCACAGATTGAGAAAGCGCTACTGCAAAACAATTTAGAAGCCTTTGCAAAAAGTAATATAGAAAGTCATTTTTCAGAAAAAAAGTAATAACATATATGTCATCATATTATACAAAATGCATGTTTGTTTACACTTTTTATGTTATCTAAAATCATGGAAGTATTATCTAAAAGAGCTATCTAATAAGGCCGTTAGTTTTCTCAATTGAATTGTTTCATATTTTTCATTTCGGGGCCTCTTATAGCCGACTATACGGTATAGGTTTTTCTCATTGTTGAAGGCCGTACGGTTGCCTATTTTTATAGTTCTTTAGATTGGACCGAATATTTACGTTGCATGTGTCTCCTAGATAAAATCAAATTAACTATCAGATACCATCTTTAACGATCAGATCGCAATGCTAACGTTACTTATTCTTTCACGTTACGATCCTTTTACTCAATATACCGAATGGCAGTAGTGAACAAGTAGCCGATGATTTATGGCATGATAAAAAAATTAAGTATATGAATTAGAAACCATTTGAATATTTTATTAAATCATGAACTAATATTGAGTAAAATACTGTGGTCATTCAGAACCATCAGAACAAAGATTTCTTCAACATGATGCGCGTGAATAGAGCACTTAACCCCCTTCGTAAATGTTTTTTTTTTCTAAAGCGGACAATATTTGAATTTTTCATGTGGTTCTAGTTCATTTTTAAAACATGATCCCTGTATGTTAAAATGTGTGACCAAAGAAGGACAGTTTAAGTTTTCAGAGTGTCAAACATAGCCATAGTACCAAAGATTGAAATAAACATGGCCTGTAGGGTCCGTGTATATTTGCGTCCATTCGTTTTTATACGCCCGTCAAATTTTAGACGGGACGTATTATGGTATACAAATGTCCGGCGTCCGTCCGTCTGTCTGTCCGGCGTAAACATGTCGCACCGTAACTTGAGAATGACTTATCCAAATTTCATGAAACTTAACATAGTTGTTTCTTATGATGGTCAAACGATCTGTATACTTTTTGGTGAAAATAAGATTAAAACTTTTGAGTTACGGGACTTAGTAACTAAAACAGGTGTGTGTTTTTTTCACATGTCGCGCCGTATCTCAAAAACAATTTATGATTATTGCTTAAAACTTAACACACTTCTTAGTTATATTAATCTTAAGATCTGTATACGTTTTGGTGATGATTCAAAATTTTATTTTAGAGATATTGAGTATTTTGTTAAAAAAGGGGGAGGGGTTTTTCACATGTCGCGCCGTATCTCAAAAACAGTTTATGATTATTGCTTAAAACTTTACACACTTCTTAGTTATATTAAGCTTAAGATCTGTATACTTTTTGGTGATGATTCAAAATTTTATTTTTGAGTTATTGAGTATTTTGTAAAAAAAAAAAAGGGGGGAGGGGTTTTTCACATGTCGCGCCGTATCTCAAAAACGATTTATGATTATTGCTTAAAATTTTACACACTTCTTAGTTATATTAATCTAAAGATCTGTATACTTTTTGGTTTTGATTCAAAATTTAATTTTTGAGATATTGATTTTTTTTTTTAAAGGGGGGGTTTTCACATGTCGGGCCGGATCTTAAAAACGATTTATGATTGACCACACTCTTAACTTATTAGTTGACGCACATCAAAGCCGTGCACCTATGGCAAATAACTTTGTCGGAAGAGGAATAAAACAAATGCAAAATGATTTGTCCTCTTAATCATTGTAAATAAGAACAAAACATTCAATTATACATATTTAGCACTAGTCTTTTCGATACAACTGTTAACTTCTTAAAATAAAACAGATTATTATTGTTTAATTAGTTGTTATGTAAGTTGGCACGTGTCAATCGGCTCTGATTTTCGGCAATATCAAAGAAAAACTGGCACGTGCCTAAATATTGTTCAATTACTCATTTATTTGTGGTTCTTTTTCTATAAAATTTAGAATTTATGCATTAACTATCAATCTCTACCATAATATAAAAAAATAATACATCTAACAGAACCCCTTCTAGTCCTTAGTGGCATATTTTAAGTCCTAAGTGCACTAAGGAGTCCTTAGCAGTGTTTAGACGTACCGGTCTAAATTGGTCTGAAATTTACTTGATATTACTCGACTGTAGTTTGAATCATACTTAACAGTCTGAACTTGTACTCGACCTTTACTCGACCAGTACTTAACCCTTTTATACGTGTCTGAACCATACTCGACGTAGTCTTAACAATTCTCGACCAAGTCTGAACCATTCTCGACCTATTCTGAACCATACTTTACCTAGTCTGAACCATACTCGACCAAGTCTTATCCAACCAAGACCTATTTTTGTATCCATCTATTGTATTTCATCAATTTAGGAACTATTTTTAACAACAGCTATTTCCCTTGGCTAAAAATTTGAAAAAAAAATAAAATCCAGAATGTATTTAATATAGCATCGAAACCAAAATTTCACAATAACATAATACAATCATCAACACCATATTCATCAACACTTATATATATATATATATTACATATGGTGTAGCATTCTCCTGTTTTCATTGGATATTACGATCACGTGTTTCAAAATTTATTTTATGTATCCGAAGCCTTGTTTCTATTTTTACGTATATTGACGCTATGTTTCTATTTATATGTTTATTCCATATTTATAGAACTTTAGTAGGTTTTTCTATATGAATGGGATTTTGAATAAATAAGCATATTCACCTGCAGAAAAAGTATATTCACCGCGCAAAACGTCGCGTGCTTTTACGTGTATAATACAATGTTTGACGTTTAGTTGGTTTTGGTAAATAACTGTTATTTTACACATATTTTTCTGTCTCGGAACATTGAATAAAACATTTACTGTCTTTTGTTTCGGGAAATATTTGGTTTAATTGACTTTCTTTTGAAAAACCTAGTGACATTCACTTCGGCCGTTGGCCTTAGTGAATATCAGTTTTTCTAAAGTCAATAAAACCACACATTTACCTCATCAAAAGACAGTAATTGTATATTATTCAATATTAGTATTATTTTAGTAGTTTTCTCTATATGAATTGGATTTTAAATAAAAAAGCATATTCACCTGGAGAAAAGTGTTATTCACCGCGCTAAACATCACGCGCTTTTACATGTAACGTTTTGGTAAAATGTTTGATGTACAATTGGTTTGGGTAAATATTTGTCATTAAATACATTGGCCTCAGTGAATATCAGTTTTTCAAAAGTCAATAAAACCGCATATTTACCTCATCAAAAGACAGTAATTGTATAATATTGACGGTCAATATAACAAATATCTTGCTAAATTTAGATTGATGACGTCATGACGTCACACATAACAACCATAAAGGAAGCGCCGCAGCAGAAGAAAAG